TATGTTTGTTTACATTTCTGGGTTTAACATTCTGGGATTGATATGAAATGCATTCAGACAAATTGGGTGAGTATTATTTGATATTATTTGCGGGTGTTTTGCTTGTTGTTTTAATTTTCTTTCTTTTTAGCAAGCGGTGTCCGTGCATAGGAATGTAGTCGTCACATCGTCCAACGTCGTGGAAAGGATGAATTTGAGATTAGATAAGTGGCTATTTAGTATCTAGTTTATTTGTTGACTGATTTGAGTTGTTTTTTCTAGTCTTTCAGTCCTCTTCATGGCAGGGAATGCGACCTGGGTGAGCCCCTTGCAGGAAGCTGTCGCCAGGATGCCGCGACGAGTCGAGCAGAGCCCGGCGAGCAGATCGTGCAGTGGGAGCTCCAATCTCAATGTGAGTATTTAATTTAATGTTTTCTTTTATTTTCAGGACAACAGGGACTAGAGATGATTTTAGCCTTGAAATAGTTTTTAGCCATGATGGAAGGATGTGCATGCAGCCAATTTGGGTGAGTATTATTTACCATAATTTATGGGTGTCTTGATTATCGTTGTAAGTTATAATTTTCTTTCTTTTTAGGAATTGGTGGCTGTGCATAGGAGTAGGATGCATCGCTTAAGGACAAGCAAAGGAAGAGCTTAAAGTTAGATAAGTTTCTGTTATTTTCCTAATTTGTTTTTTGACTAATTTGAGTATTTTTTTTTTGATACTCAATCTCCATCCTGTGGCAAAGAAGTCGGCATGGGTGGGTCCCTTGCAGCATGCTGTCGCCAGGATGCAGCGGTTTGATCGAGCAAAGCCCGGCGAGCAGATCTGCAGTGATCTGCAGTGGGAGCTCCACTTTCAGTGTAAGTAGTAAAATTTCTGCGTTTGCGTGGCAGTGGTCAGTGTATTGATTTTCTTTTCAGGTCCACAGGGCAGGGAGGTGCCAGTTAGGTGGCTGATATTTTTGGTGAGTATTTCAGTCAGCTAAATCGTTCTCAGAACTCCTTCTATTTTTGCAGGACGAAAGTTGACAGTCAATGGTGCGCTAAAAATACTTCAATAACAAATGAGGGAAGTCACCGAGATCATTTAAGGACTATGGGAGTGTCTAACAGCAGAGGTTCAAGGTAGAGGATTTTGGAATTGCGGGTGTTTTGAATTATATATAGTGACATATTTAATGCTCAACCACATAACATATATCTACAACATATACCAGCCACTTTATATATTCTCTTACTTAGCAACAATAGAACATAGAACCAAGAATGCCTTAGCACATAAGAACCCCAACTTCTTGGTGACAATAACAAATTCGGCCGATGTAAACAATTTAACATAAACATCCGCAGTCTTATTCGTTATTCCCACTAGAAGGGTGAAAACTGCTTACACAGCTTAAAGGGTCAAAACTATCCACGTAGCTCAAACTCGGCTGATCTGTATCCATGCGCAATCCACTCAAGAGAGCGCCTAATTAACGTTAACATAAATGAGAGCCTATGATTAATAAAAATATTTTTTTTATAAACCAACAAACCGCGAAGTTGTAATTGGCACAGTCGGTTACAAAAAAAAGTAAAAATCGATGGAGGGATAGTAACTACGATGAGAGAGCAACAAAACAACTAAGTCCAGAAAAGAATCAAGCTAATTTCCAAATAAAACGCGATCCAATTAAAATGCATCATGGTGTAAAAGGTGATTCTGATGTAAACGGTCGGTCCGACGAGCAATTGAAATGGGACCCTGCCTTTAATAAAATGACTCTTGTTGGCAAAAATGTCAACGAAGCTACAAAAAATGAAGATTCTGAAACCCCGTTCAGAAAAGAAAGGAAAAGGAGAAATACACCGAACTCGGATAAAACATCACAAGGTCACAGTAGCAAAAACACTGATAAATCGAAGGCTGCTAAGGGCGTATTTAAGCGAGGACATGGTCGTTACAGATGCAAGAGTTTGGGGTATATGAAAGAACATCTATGTTTCGGTCGATTCGTATGTCCTTCTGATTTGCTTCGTGTCAAGCTAGAGGAGCGCGATCTGTACAGATGGTAACTATTAAAAAAATTGTTTTTGTAAAATCTTTAATGATACTACAACCTCTTTAGTATTCCGTACTGTAACACTTCGTTATACCAGACGTGTATGCCTTATAAATTCAGATACCAATGCTGTGCCGCTCCATGACAGTAAAAACATTGTTCTCTTAAAAATATTTTTTCATTTAAATTTCTTATGTACGTAATTATTTAAAGTTTAATAAAAAACAGGCTGCAAATACAATTTTTCAATTTTACAGTCTGGAAAATTGTATAGAAGACGATGTTTCTTCATGATTTCTTATATTTCTTTTATTTCCTATACGATATAAATCAATTATCGCTAAACTAATGCTCATTAAATTGCTGTTACATACCATTGAGTACGACCTTTTATTTTAAAATTCAACTAAATCCACAAAATCATCAACACAATAGTGTTTTTCTGTCCAGGGACCACCCATATAGAGTGGAAGTCACAAGAACTTGGGGTGGCAAAACAAAAAGTCATTAGTTAACAATTAGCGCCATTTGAGCTTATCGCGGTACCATTATAAGATCTAGATTGTAAATTCGAATGTCAAGAAATATTCTTATTAGTGAAACCGTAATGCAACACAAGGAAATGTATTATAGCTAACAAGTTATTAATAAATAAAAGATAAAGTAGTGCACCCTGTCGTCGAGTCGGTTGGCGCCATCAAGCTACCGCCATTTTGGAAGCAAAATGCGCGGTTATGGTTTGTGCAGATCGAAACTCAATTTCAATGCAGCCGCATTTCTTCAGATAACACGCGCTACTACCATTTAATCAGTGCTTTGGATGCTGATATAATGACTGAAGTATCTGATGTTCTGGCGCAACCCTCGGAAGTCAACAGATACGAGCACCTGAAGGAGATTATCATAAAGCGATTTACGGAATCACCGGACAGACAATTGCAGCGCGCTTTACTGGAGCTTGACCTTGGGGACAAGAAGTCCTCGCAGCTCCTTCGGCAAATGACAACTCTTGCTGATGGTCGCGCGTCTGCAGACGCCTTACGAGTCCGCTGGCTTTCTCAGCTACCGCATCACGTACAAAGAGGCTTGAAGCTCCTACGCTCAGCAACTTTGGAAGAGCAAACTGCACTCGCTGACGATCTCATGGAAGAGAAATCGGGTTCTTTTGTCATGGCTGCTGGGTTTTTTTTTATTTGCATGGTGGAGGGGCAGAGCAGAATCAGTTTATTCTGAACCGTTTCCACAATTTATTTGCCTCTGATTACATAGGTATGCAATATTTAGGTACAAGTTTTTACATTTTTGAGTTTAACATTGTGGAGGTGAGTTTTGGAATTGAACATTAATGTTAGTGAAAAGTAAGTATGCTAGGTTAGTGTTTTTACATTGGCGTAGATTGGTAACATTGTTTTGCTTGTATGTTTGTTTACATTTCTGGGTTTAACATTCTGGGATTGATATGAAATGCATTCAGACAAATTGGGTGAGTATTATTTGATATTATTTGCGGGTGTTTTGCTTGTTGTTTTAATTTTCTTTCTTTTTAGCAAGCGGTGTCCGTGCATAGGAATGTAGTCGTCACATCGTCCAACGTCGTGGAAAGGATGAATTTGAGATTAGATAAGTGGCTATTTAGTATCTAGTTTATTTGTTGACTGATTTGAGTTGTTTTTTCTAGTCTTTCAGTCCTCTTCATGGCAGGGAATGCGACCTGGGTGAGCCCCTTGCAGGAAGCTGTCGCCAGGATGCCGCGACGAGTCGAGCAGAGCCCGGCGAGCAGATCGTGCAGTGGGAGCTCCAATCTCAATGTGAGTATTTAATTTAATGTTTTCTTTTATTTTCAGGACAACAGGGACTAGAGATGATTTTAGCCTTGAAATAGTTTTTAGCCATGATGGAAGGATGTGCATGCAGCCAATTTGGGTGAGTATTATTTACCATAATTTATGGGTGTCTTGATTATCGTTGTAAGTTATAATTTTCTTTCTTTTTAGGAATTGGTGGCTGTGCATAGGAGTAGGATGCATCGCTTAAGGACAAGCAAAGGAAGAGCTTAAAGTTAGATAAGTTTCTGTTATTTTCCTAATTTGTTTTTTGACTAATTTGAGTATTTTTTTTTTGATACTCAATCTCCATCCTGTGGCAAAGAAGTCGGCATGGGTGGGTCCCTTGCAGCATGCTGTCGCCAGGATGCAGCGGTTTGATCGAGCAAAGCCCGGCGAGCAGATCTGCAGTGATCTGCAGTGGGAGCTCCACTTTCAGTGTAAGTAGTAAAATTTCTGCGTTTGCGTGGCAGTGGTCAGTGTATTGATTTTCTTTTCAGGTCCACAGGGCAGGGAGGTGCCAGTTAGGTGGCTGATATTTTTGGTGAGTATTTCAGTCAGCTAAATCGTTCTCAGAACTCCTTCTATTTTTGCAGGACGAAAGTTGACAGTCAATGGTGCGCTAAAAATACTTCAATAACAAATGAGGGAAGTCACCGAGATCATTTAAGGACTATGGGAGTGTCTAACAGCAGAGGTTCAAGGTAGAGGATTTTGGAATTGCGGGTGTTTTGAATTATATATAGTGACATATTTAATGCTCAACCACATAACATATATCTACAACATATACCAGCCACTTTATATATTCTCTTACTTAGCAACAATAGAACATAGAACCAAGAATGCCTTAGCACATAAGAACCCCAACTTCTTGGTGACAATAACAAATTCGGCCGATGTAAACAATTTAACATAAACATCCGCAGTCTTATTCGTTATTCCCACTAGAAGGGTGAAAACTGCTTACACAGCTTAAAGGGTCAAAACTATCCACGTAGCTCAAACTCGGCTGATCTGTATCCATGCGCAATCCACTCAAGAGAGCGCCTAATTAACGTTAACATAAATGAGAGCCTATGATTAATAAAAATATTTTTTTTATAAACCAACAAACCGCGAAGTTGTAATTGGCACAGTCGGTTACAAAAAAAAGTAAAAATCGATGGAGGGATAGTAACTACGATGAGAGAGCAACAAAACAACTAAGTCCAGAAAAGAATCAAGCTAATTTCCAAATAAAACGCGATCCAATTAAAATGCATCATGGTGTAAAAGGTGATTCTGATGTAAACGGTCGGTCCGACGAGCAATTGAAATGGGACCCTGCCTTTAATAAAATGACTCTTGTTGGCAAAAATGTCAACGAAGCTACAAAAAATGAAGATTCTGAAACCCCGTTCAGAAAAGAAAGGAAAAGGAGAAATACACCGAACTCGGATAAAACATCACAAGGTCACAGTAGCAAAAACACTGATAAATCGAAGGCTGCTAAGGGCGTATTTAAGCGAGGACATGGTCGTTACAGATGCAAGAGTTTGGGGTATATGAAAGAACATCTACGTTTCGGTCGATTCGTATGTCCTTCTGATTTGCTTCGTGTCAAGCTAGAGGAGCGCGATCTGTACAGATGGTAACTATTAAAAAAATTGTTTTTGTAAAATCTTTAATGATACTACAACCTCTTTAGTATTCCGTACTGTAACACTTCGTTATACCAGACGTGTATGCCTTATAAATTCAGATACCAATGCTGTGCCGCTCCATGACAGTAAAAACATTGTTCTCTTAAAAATATTTTTTCATTTAAATTTCTTATGTACGTAATTATTTAAAGTTTAATAAAAAACAGGCTGCAAATACAATTTTTCAATTTTACAGTCTGGAAAATTGTATAGAAGACGATGTTTCTTCATGATTTCTTATATTTCTTTTATTTCCTATACGATATAAATCAATTAACGCTAAACTAATGCTCATTAAATTGCTGTTACATACCATTGAGTACGACCTTTTATTTTAAAATTCAACTAAATCCACAAAATCATCAACACAATAGTGTTTTTCTGTCCAGGGACCACCCATATAGAGTGGAAGTCACAAGAACTTGGGGTGGCAAAACAAAAAGTCATTAGTTAACAATTAGCGCCATTTGAGCTTATCGCGGTACCATTATAAGATCTAGATTGTAAATTCGAATGTCAAGAAATATTCTTATTAATGAAACCGTAATGCAACACAAGGAAATGTATTATAGCTAACAAGTTATTAATAAATAAAAGATAAAGTAGTGCACCCTGTCGTCGAGTCGGTTGGCGCCATCAAGCTACCGCCATTTTGGAAGCAAAATGCGCGGTTATGGTTTGTGCAGATCGAAACTCAATTTCAATGCAGCCGCATTTCTTCAGATAACACGCGCTACTACCATTTAATCAGTGCTTTGGATGCTGATATAATGACTGAAGTATCTGATGTTCTGGCGCAACCCTCGGAAGTCAACAGATACGAGCACCTGAAGGAGATTATCATAAAGCGATTTACGGAATCACCGGACAGACAATTGCAGCGCGCTTTACTGGAGCTTGACCTTGGGGACAAGAAGTCCTCGCAGCTCCTTCGGCAAATGACAACTCTTGCTGATGGTCGCGCGTCTGCAGACGCCTTACGAGTCCGCTGGCTTTCTCAGCTACCGCATCACGTACAAAGAGGCTTGAAGCTCCTACGCTCAGCAACTTTGGAAGAGCAAACTGCACTCGCTGACGATCTCATGGAAGAGAAATCGGGTTCTTTTGTCATGGCTGCTGGGTTTTTTTTTATTTGCATGGTGGAGGGGCAGAGCAGAATCAGTTTATTCTGAACCGTTTCCACAATTTATTTGCCTCTGATTACATAGGTATGCAATATTTAGGTACAAGTTTTTACATTTTTGAGTTTAACATTGTGGAGGTGAGTTTTGGAATTGAACATTAATGTTAGTGAAAAGTAAATATGCTAGGTTAGTGTTTTTACATTGGCGTAGATTGGTAACATTGTTTTGCTTGTATGTTTGTTTACATTTCTGGGTTTAACATTCTGGGATTGATATGAAATGCATTCAGACAAATTGGGTGAGTATTATTTGATATTATTTGCGGGTGTTTTGCTTGTTGTTTTAATTTTCTTTCTTTTTAGCAAGCGGTGTCCGTGCATAGGAATGTAGTCGTCACATCGTCCAACGTCGTGGAAAGGATGAATTTGAGATTAGATAAGTGGCTATTTAGTATCTAGTTTATTTGTTGACTGATTTGAGTTGTTTTTTCTAGTCTTTCAGTCCTCTTCATGGCAGGGAATGCGACCTGGGTGAGCCCCTTGCAGGAAGCTGTCGCCAGGATGCCGCGACGAGTCGAGCAGAGCCCGGCGAGCAGATCGTGCAGTGGGAGCTCCAATCTCAATGTGAGTATTTAATTTAATGTTTTCTTTTATTTTCAGGACAACAGGGACTAGAGATGATTTTAGCCTTGAAATAGTTTTTAGCCATGATGGAAGGATGTGCATGCAGCCAATTTGGGTGAGTATTATTTACCATAATTTATGGGTGTCTTGATTATCGTTGTAAGTTATAATTTTCTTTCTTTTTAGGAATTGGTGGCTGTGCATAGGAGTAGGATGCATCGCTTAAGGACAAGCAAAGGAAGAGCTTAAAGTTAGATAAGTTTCTGTTATTTTCCTAATTTGTTTTTTGACTAATTTGAGTATTTTTTTTTTGATACTCAATCTCCATCCTGTGGCAAAGAAGTCGGCATGGGTGGGTCCCTTGCAGCATGCTGTCGCCAGGATGCAGCGGTTTGATCGAGCAAAGCCCGGCGAGCAGATCTGCAGTGATCTGCAGTGGGAGCTCCACTTTCAGTGTAAGTAGTAAAATTTCTGCGTTTGCGTGGCAGTGGTCAGTGTATTGATTTTCTTTTCAGGTCCACAGGGCAGGGAGGTGCCAGTTAGGTGGCTGATATTTTTGGTGAGTATTTCAGTCAGCTAAATCGTTCTCAGAACTCCTTCTATTTTTGCAGGACGAAAGTTGACAGTCAATGGTGCGCTAAAAATACTTCAATAACAAATGAGGGAAGTCACCGAGATCATTTAAGGACTATGGGAGTGTCTAACAGCAGAGGTTCAAGGTAGAGGATTTTGGAATTGCGGGTGTTTTGAATTATATATAGTGACATATTTAATGCTCAACCACATAACATATATCTACAACATATACCAGCCACTTTATATATTCTCTTACTTAGCAACAATAGAACATAGAACCAAGAATGCCTTAGCACATAAGAACCCCAACTTCTTGGTGACAATAACAAATTCGGCCGATGTAAACAATTTAACATAAACATCCGCAGTCTTATTCGTTATTCCCACTAGAAGGGTGAAAACTGCTTACACAGCTTAAAGGGTCAAAACTATCCACGTAGCTCAAACTCGGCTGATCTGTATCCATGCGCAATCCACTCAAGAGAGCGCCTAATTAACGTTAACATAAATGAGAGCCTATGATTAATAAAAATATTTTTTTTATAAACCAACAAACCGCGAAGTTGTAATTGGCACAGTCGGTAGGATCCGCGTGTGAACATAATCTCTTAGAGCTAATAAATTAGTTCGAGATTAATAAAGCGCAGCTCGTGGCGAACAAAGTTTCGTTTGTGCTTCAGTTTATACAAAGCAGATCCGCAAAAGAATCTATGTGACAAAATATTTGTGAATAGTTATCTAACTCTCGATGTTGGATACTATTAATACAAATTAAAAACTGCAGTGACCATTAAAGCGTGACCCACCAAAATAAATAAAAGGTGTGACTGTTACCAGGTCAGTGTAGCCCATCTAACATTGATTGGACCGCTACGAAGGTGTGTGAATCTTAAAATTAAAAAAAAAAATAAAAACCCCGGTATTAACCTACCAAGTGATTCAAAAGCAAAAATCAACAATAGCCAACAACATGGCACAACCCAGTGAACAAATTATGATTCTCTCCGAGCTACATTTGAATCAGGCTTTGGGCCAGATTCGCCACATCCCAACATTTGACGGTTCCACAAGAGAACTGGCATCATTTGTGAGACGTTGGACAAGCTTGGAAATTGCCAATACTTTAAAACCATTGACCTCGCAAAAGGTTTTCATCAAATACAAATTCCATTGAAAATTCCATTGCGAAGACAGCTTTTTCCACCAAAAATGGTCATTTTGAATATACTCGAATGCCATTTGGTTTAAAAAATGCACCCGCAACTTTTCAACGTTGCATGAATAATCTCTTAGCAGATTTAATATACAAAAACTGTCTCGTATATATGGATGACATAATTGTGTATTCCACTTCATTGGAAGAGCACATAATGTCTTTGCGAAAGGTATTCTTAAAGTTCAGGGAAGCAAATTTAAAATTACAGCTAGACAAATGCGAATTCCTAAAAAAGGAAACTGAATTCCTAGGGCATATAATTACAACAGATGGTATTAAACCAAATCCCACAAAAATTAAAGCCGTAGTGAATTTCCCTATACCAAAGTCCACTAAGGAAATAAAATCATTTCTTGGCCTTTGCGGTTTTTACCGCAAATTTATTCCAAACTTCGCTAAAATAGCAAAACCAATGACACTACGACTAAAAAAAGGCTCAATAATAAATATCAAAGACTCAGACTATTACTTAGCTTTTGAAAAACTAAAAGTGTTAATAACGTCCGATCCCATATTAATACACCCAGATTTTAAAAAGTCTTTTTCACTAACTACTGATGCCAGCAATTTTGCTATAGGCGCAGTATTATCGCAAGAGCATAAAGCTATATGTTATGAGAGCAGAACTCTGAACGAACATGAAATTAATTATTCCGCAATAGAAAAGGAACTCCTTGCTATTGTTTGGGCCACTAAATATTTCAGGTCCTATTTATTTGGTAGAAAATTCGAGATCTACAGTGATCACAGGCCTTTGGTTTGGCTTGATTCAATTAAAGAGCCAAACATGAAACTTCAGAGATGGAAAATTAAAGTAAATGAATTTGATTACCATATCAAATATCTCCCTGGTAAAGAAAACTATGTAGCAGATGCTCTATCAAGAGTAAAAATTGAAGAAAACTTCCTAGGAGAAACCTCCAGTAATATTTCGTTACCAACACAAGCAACTATTCACAGTGCTCAAGAAGATAACCAATCTTATATTTCCTTAACGGAGAGGCCAATTAATTACTACAACAGGCAGATAGAATTTATAAAAGACGATAATAATACCGTAGAAACTAAAGGATATTTTCATAAAACAAAAATTAAAATTCATTACATAGAAATGACAAATGGCCATGCCAAAGAATTAATTAAAGAATATTTTTGTACTAAAAGAAGCGTAATTTTCTTTCATAACGAAGCAGACTTCCTTACATTTCAAAACGCTTACATAGAAATTTTCAGTCCGAATAACATAACTAAAGTTATGAAATCAAACATCAAATTAAAAGATATTGAAATATATTCAGAATTTAAAGAAATAATTATAAAAAGCCACAGAGAACTTTTACACCCAGGAATCGAGAAACAAACTAACCTTTTCAAAGAAAAATATTATTACCCAGACTACCAAAAGTTAATACAGAACATTATTAATGAATGCGAAGTATGTAACATATCCAAAACAGAACATAGAGATACTAAACTAAACTATGAGTTAACACCAGAAACTTTTAATCCCAGAGAAAAATATGTTATCGATTTTTATTTAATCAA